ATGTCTATTCATACTTTTAATCTGTTGGAAAATATTTGGAAAGCTTTTATTGGTTGAATAAATAATTAAAGTTAAACAATTTATATATATATAATAATACAAAAATAGTTTTGACTGTATATATATGTTATTGTTATCTCGTTTGAATGTTGAAAATCGACCTTTCCTCATTTACCTTCAGCTTACCCTCACTCCATTAGCACACATTTCATATGAACTATTGAAAACTAAAGTTTACTTTAATTTGTCTTTCAATTCTTAATTTTACTCTAGTGTGCAGAAATAATCAGGCACAGTGGATATAATTGTAAATGTACTGTATCGCAAGTCATTGGACAAGGTACGTGTCACTTATTGTTGCTGCTTTAAACTATATTACCGGTTACATTAAGTAAGAACATGTGTCAATATGACAATACATTGGGTAATAAAATATCATTTAAGAAATGAATCAGTGCGACAAAACTCAAGAATAACTGTTTTGGAGGTTTATATTAAAACAGTTTCTTGCTCGAAGGAAAATTGCAGCACAACCTGTTAGACCCCAAGCCTGTTTTTCAGGTCTCAGGTTCGAAAATGACATTTCCAGAACAAATGACCATATCTTCCCTTCTAAAAGGGGAAAATTAATAATCTTTTTTCTCAAAGTAATAATAAACCTGTGAGTTGGATGTAGAAGAGTCAGAATCAATATAGATGTTTTTTATTTTAAAGAAAATCTAGATTGAACATAGTAAAAAACTAAATTATAGTGTCTGTCCAAAAATTCTTTTTTACTTATAGTGAAAAGTGCCCTTGGATGATGGTAAGGTAGACTAACAGCTTTAGGAATCCAAAGTACAACATATAATAAGTACCCTGTATCAAGATTGATGCAAAACAAGTGACATTTGACCTTTTTAGAGAGAGTTAGCAAACAATCAATTAATGCCATTGAACACGACTTTTGATCAGAATAACAGCTAAGGTGAGCATATCTCTGTGTTTTGCTACCTAAAGCTACTCATGTGTTGTCTGTATTTGCTTCCCCTGTCACGAGTTCAGATCGCTCAGTGATGATCCTTATATTTCTATAATCTGTGGACTCTCAGAATGTTATCTAAGCTTGTTTGTGCAGATCCAATAATTATATCGATCGGTATAGCTAGAGTTCTGTGCTAACGGCCTTAATATTATTTTGCCCGTGGCTAATTCAGAGGCTCAGCGTTAGCTTTAAGTTTTTTTTGTTGAAAAAACATAGATATGAAACATTCATAGTTTATTAAATCTTAAGAAGCCCTCAGACACTTTTGCTTGCAGATGTTGTGATTTCGGCCCCTTCGGCGGGTCCGTGGGGTTTAAGAGGTATCATTAAAAAATGCAAGTATATGCAAACGTATGAATGTGTGTGTGTTAGCTTGTCAGCATCAGGGCCTGTGGGCTCAGTGACTAAGCACAATGTTGCCTCACCCTCTGCAGCACCTCAAACCCCTCGTGTGTGACTCCATGGACCCTCTACAGTTTGCCTACCAGGAAAACATTGGTGTAGACTAGAGGATGCTATCACCTACATGCTCCACAGAGCCTACACACAGCTGGAGGAGCCGCACAGCTCACTAAGAATTCTGTTCTTCGACTTCTCCAGCGCCTTCAACACGATCCAGCCACACCTGCTAGCTGAGAAGCTGTCAGTGATGCAGGTGGATCACAGCATGGTGGCCTGGATCACAGACTACCTCACCAGCAGACCTCAGTATGTCAGACTGCAGGGCAGCGTATCTGATGTGCTGCTGAGCAACACCGGAGCCCCCCAAGGAACTGTGCTGTCACCATTCCTGTTCACCCTCTACACCTCCGACTTCCGCTTCAACTCTGGCTCATGCCACCTACAGAAGTTCTCTGACGACTCCTCCATTGTCAGCTGCATCACAGATGACAATGAGGAGGAGTACAGGGCAGAGTCCTGCACGGGTCTGATTTTCAAGACCCGCTCCCGCCCCGCACCCGCGACGTGCAATACCGAACCCGCCCCGCTACCCGCACATATTGCCAATTAGTTCCGCAACCCGACCCGACCCGTCGGCACAAGATCCGCAACCCGACCCGAAACCCGCATAGCCTATGAGCAGTGAAAACGTGCAATTATTAACACACGCAGTTTCATATTTGTCTCAGAAAGCGTGGGATGTTGGTTATTTCCTCCATCTAGGATGACACAAAAAGCCTCCCAGACGTTGGATTCGCTCTTGAGGAAGTGTTATTGAAAATGCTGTATTCTCCGCTAGAGAGCTTCACCTCAGCCATTTCGAATGTGGCGCGCACAGCAGCAGATTGATGCGCTGCAGAGGTTATGATTATGCGCGGTCCCGCGGGAGAGAGGTCTGAGGATTTTAAACATTAAACTAATTTATTATTATTTTAATATATTTATTATGCAATACCCGCGACCCGACCCGCATCATCTTTGTTTTACCCAGAACCGAACCCGGAAAAAAGCGTTTGAAAAAATACCACCCGCGAATCACCTTCACCTGCATCGGGTCGGGTACCCGCGGGTACCCGACCCGATGCAGGACTCTGGTACAGGGCCCTGGTTGGGAACTTCGTAGGCTGGTGTGACAACAATCACCTCCAGCTCAACATCAGCAAGACTAAGGCTGCAGCCACACGAGGACAAAAACGTCTAAACGCATAGGATTAACGCAAACGCAATCACAAACAAGCTTCCGTCCACACGCAATAGACACCGGAAAGATTCTGTCCACACGAGACAGCTCCGTTTAGCTCCAACCGCTGGAGAAGCTGCAGTACATATGCTGAGCCTGTACGTGGCGCTGTAACTTCCTCCACAAAAGCAGCGAAGAAGCATGGTTGTCATGGTTGCCCTTCTGTTTATTCTCCGCGGTGGGGGCCGAGGGAACCGGGCAGAGTTTTTCGCCAGTCAACGTGTATTAAAGTTTAAATCTTCCGACAAAATTATAAAAGTGCCGGTCAAAGGTCTTCTTTGTTATTTATTGAGCTTTAAAACAAATGAATAACGAATCTATATAATATAATAATAAAATACACGGAGCCTCTCTTTTTCCTCCCTCTCTTCGGACAGCGTCAGTGTCTGTCTCATGCAGCAGCTGATCCAGTAATGAGTGACCCGGCCGACAGTAAAAATAAACATATTTATAACTAGTTTAGGTAGTTTGAGAGGTGTCTCCGTCCTGTCAGATTAGACTTCACTTCACTCGCGTTTATGTCCATATCGAGAGAATAATCCGAATTCAGTGTGCAGTTTACTTTGACGCGGGGGTGAGCAGCAGAGGTGGGGAGAGGCGGGGCTATTGCGCAATCATTATCAGAAAATGATCGCTGAAGCTGCAGTACATATCCACAAAAGCAGCGAGTAAGATCCCCCCCGGATGTGTAAGTCTGCTGTAGATGTTGCACAAAGAACTGTAGCATGGTCAGTAGCGTCTGGAGCACGATAGCAACTCTGCGATCCGCCATTGTTGTTGTTGTTGGTGGCGAAACACATCAGCAATGGCGCGGGGTACGCGGAGGTGAGCAGCAGAGGTGGGGAGAGGCGGGGCTATTGCGCAATCATTATCAGAAAATGATCGTATAGGGCGCACACACGGAGCTGGTTGACCCCCCAGAGCGTTGCGTATGCCGTTCTATCCACCTTGGGACCCGTTATCGTTTCCTCAGTCGTTTAGTGCCGTATGCGGTCGTCCTCGTGTGGCCGAATGGTCTATATGACACTAAACAGTAACGCAAACGGCCGTTTTTGTCCTCGTGTGGTTGCAGCCTAAGGAGCTGGTGGTGGACTTCAGGCGGAGCAGGAAGAGGCCTCTGACCCCCATCACCATCAGGGGGGTGGTGAACAGCTACAAGTTCCTGGGAGTGCACTTAAACAATAAACTGGACTGGACAGACAACACCGATGCTCTCTTCAGGAAGGGACAGAGTAAGCTGTTCTTCCTGAGGAGGCTCAGGTCATTCAATGTGTGCACGAGGCTGCTGCAGATGTTCTACCAGTCTGTGGTGGCCAGTGTGCTCTTCTTTGCCGTGGTGTGCTGGGGTGGTAACACAAACACTAGGGACACTGGCAGGCTGAACAGGCTCGTGAGGAAGGCTAGCTCTGTAGTGGGAGTACAACTGGACAATCTGGAGGAGGTGGCAGAGGGGAGGACAAGGAGGAAGCTCGACAGCATCCTAGAGAACCCCTCCCACCCACTCCACGCAGAGCTAGTGAAGATGAGGAGCACGTTCAGCCACAGACTCATCCCTCCACAACAACGCACTAGTCATATTTTTATTTGTCTCAGCAACAGGCAGCACTGGCCATCTCCTGCCCAAACTGTGAGGCTAATAACCTGCGGTAGCCTGTCGCTCCCTATGGTCGCTCCACATCTTTTCCAAAGTGCCGACCAGGCTGCAGACTGGACTGAGACCCTTTTGGTGGAGCTGTGACGCCCTCTATGGGCAACAGCAGAACTACATCACAGCATCAGCTCAGAGAAGCTTCAGATGAATGAGAACAGAGCAACAGATTGTCGTTAGTCTTTCTGTGTGGCACTGGTAAGTATGATTGCTGAATAAATAAATGAAAATAAATCTCTGGTTAATGTTAGATACTGATTAATATAGCTGTGGATAATGTTTGAAAGCCTTTAAAATCGTAATTGAATTGAACTTGAAGCCATATCCTCAAACCTAAACACAATCTAGCAGGAACAAACACGTCTAGTGCAGCACTTCTAACTTTCTGACACAGGATTTGCCGAGTGTTTGGACTTTTGGAGGTGTTTTAGATAGGCTGAGAGGGAGTTTTGATCAGTTTTTAATTGCCTGGCATAAAAGGCTGAATGGACCATTTCCTGGTTCTCAGTTAAACGATTAGCGAGATCAAAGACGACACTAATTGATATGACACACAGTGAACCCAATGAGCGGAGCCGCAGGTCAACAAGACACCTACTCCACCCACAGGAATGTTTCAGAGCGTGTGTGTGTGTGTGTACACTCACCTCTCCTATTTGAACGTGTGTTTCGTCGACGGACTGCGAGTATGACTGGATGATCTCCTTCATGTGGAGAGTGTGGTTTTCTTCAATGTCTTGGAATTTCTAAAAAACAGGGCGAGGTGAGTTATGGCACGGCGGAGCAACAAACGTATCAAATTAGTTTCATGCACAATCTGCATCATGGTGTCGTTGAACAGGCATGAAAACAAAAACAAGTTATGGATGAAATGCAGAATAGGAAACTTCACTTCCTTATTCTGCCCCAGCCACTTCCTGCGTGTCTGTTTGGGTAGTCTATCGTGCTCTCACACACTTTAGTGCAGTGGTGTAAAGTAACTTAGTACATTAACTCAGTACAATTTGCAGATACTAGTACTTTAATTGATTATTTAAACTTTTTTTTACTTTGTACTTCTGCTCCACTACAGTTCAGAGGCAAATCATGTACTTTGACTCCACTACATTTGTGTAATACCTTTAGTTACTTTACAGATGTGGATGAATGATGTGAAATCTAATCAAGTCTTAAATCAGACTTTAGTTCCACCTGGAGTAAATCCACAAGCTACCCTGCAGTATACAAAGTCATTCAAACTAGCTGCACCTTCACCAGCTTTGAGAACACTTTCATGATCAATCATTATAAAACATATCATATACGCATATTACTAAAGGGGCCTATCTGCATAATGAGTACCTTTACCTTTGGTACTTTTACATGAATAACATTTGCAATGCTGGACTTTTACTTGTAACAGAGTATTCCTAATACTGTGGTATTTCTACTTTTACTTAAGTAAAAGGTATGAGTACTTGTTCCACCTCTGCTATAGTTCCTGGCGTCTCTTATTCCATACATGAGACACATTGACGGAGGTTCATTTTGGCCTCAAGCAGTAGTATGGTGTAGACTAAATACTAGTGTTTACTCCCATTTAAGTCTGACTCAGGGTTAACCGAGGAGATAATCAAAGTGAGGATGCAGAGGAAGAAGAAACCACAAGCTCAGAGATAAAGAGCCACACGCTCCTGCATCTACACTACAGACAAATAAATAAGGCTTTTGTCATTCTCCACGGAAACAGATAGCATATGCTCACACACAGACACACTCGAGACAAAGAGGACACACATGTAGGACCCCTGGTGATGTCAGAGCACATGTGTTCAGTGTTTATAACTCATGTCCACATGTGCTGCGTTTGAGATGAGCCGTAGACTGTGATCCTGGGGGGAGCAGAGCTGCTTTCGCTAGGGGGGAAACAGAAACGCTACGCTAACTGGAAACATTTCTGGTGGCGGTGAGGGAGGATATGGAGGCCAAATTCTGTTGATCTGATTTTAATTTGGAGTTTATCTAATCAGTCCTTCAATATGGATCCAATCAGGGTTTTCCACAACGATTCCGTTACAGAGGAAAAAACACAATCTGGAGATGATACACACACACACACACACACACACACACACACACACACACACACACACACACACACACACACACACACACACACACACACACACACACACACACACACACACACACACACACACACACACACACACACACACACACACACACACACACACACACACACACACACACACACACACACACACACACACACACACACACACACACACACACACACACACACACACACACACACACACACACACACCTTAATGAATGTACCGCATACCACAGACACCAAGAGTTTGTGAGCACATATTTCATGAAAGCCCATCCACACAGACGAGAGGAGATGCCAGTACCTGTGCTGTTTCTGCCATCTTCTGTTCAAACTCTGACTTGGCGGCGGCATATTTCTCCACGTATGACTTGTAGGTCTCCGTGGCCTTTTGGCTTTCACTCCAGCCTGCAAAATATAAACAGCCATCATCAGTTTATGTACGATACACAAAGGCCCTCTGTTTTCACAGATCGACTGACAAATCAGCAAGGAAACCGAGCTCCACTTAACTTCTGAAGCCAAGACGCTTCTGGGGTTAAAGTTTCTGTATAGAGTGGAGTGTTAAGGCACTTCATCATGCCTTATTACTAAAACCATGACTATGAGGGTGTGTGTGTGTACGTCATGTGTGACCTCCCACCTTGTCCACATCTCTCTGGGTGGCCCCCTCTTTGCGGAGGCGCTCCTGCTCCACGGTTTTGGCATTGTAGATCTCCTTGGACTTCTGCAGAGCCTGAGAGGTGGTCTGGATGTTCTGCACAGCCTCAAGGGTGGATGCCACCTCTTCTTTTGTCTGAAAACACACACATGAATACAATATGATATGTGTCAGCCAGTGCTACTAACTATGCAGCTATTGTATAGTTAATGTAATACAGTCAACACTTGTCTTGGAATCCCCTTGTTTATCATAACTTAGTTGCGCTAATAACTTCCTTTCAAATGTTTAACAATTCAAATGTTTAACAATGCTTTGTCTTCTGATTTTGAGGTGAATTGTGTCCATATTTATTTCATTTTTATTGCTGGTCCAATGTATTTGTTCATGCCCTCTCTGTGACCATGGTTATGGACTTATGGTTATGTTTGAATTTCAAATTGTTGTGATTTTTTGTGTTGCGATTCATTTCTGTTGGTTGTATTGTGACTTGATTTGGTTTTGTCATTTTGTTTTGTCTCCTCTTCACTGTGTTGCTGTTTGTACTATGTTAGGACCCCATTAAAAGTGAGATGGTTCATCTCAAGGGGTTTATCCTAAATAAATAAGTTTCAGTTAATAACAAACTCAATTTCAGTGTAGACAGAGGTCCTTTACTGCTAACCCTTTTGCAGTCCCTCAGTTTTATTCTGCAGCATGTGATAAAGAACTGCAGCAGGAAGCAGTTAAAATTATATAGCGGCTGTTAAAAAATATATAAGTCTCTGCATTTGTTCTTAATAAACCACATTTGTTCCATCTGCAAAGCTCGTCACATTGGCTTACTTTAAGGACATAAAAGTGTTAAATAAAGGGGTAATGACAGTGGCCACACAGTAAGCTTGGTCGTTTGTTTTACTCATCACCATCTCTGAACCCTATTTGTTTCTCGTTTTGACACATTTATGGTATAATGTAAACATCCCCGGAGTAAGCTAAATAAATTATGTAGACTTTCTGTAGACTGAAGTGTAATTTTTGTGTACTTTCGGGTTAATAATGTGGCCTTTTTGGCAGATTAACTAAAGGTGTGCGGCTGCTGTGGTGGAGAAAGATGAGGCTGAACTTACAATGGGGTTTAATGGAGACATGTTGAAAGTTTTTGTCACTTCATGCCCTCAAGAGGCATTTTGTTTTTTGATTATTATTATTAATCTTTTTATATTTTTCAAGCTACGAGATGTTTTCCTATGTTTGTCATAAAAAATGATGTCTCAGGAATATAGGGTTTGGGAATTATGACAGGTTTAAAAGAAAATATGAAGGCACACTTAAATCTGTCCTCCACTCTAGCTGTGACATCACACACTCTAAAATCTGAAGAAGGCCTCTTTACCAAGGTCTGAACAATGTTTAATATCTCTAAAAGTGAGAATCAGATTTAAAAGTTGTGTTACACGAATAATGTAAGAAAGATGTGTAACATTTTAAAGTTGGAATGAGGTTTCTGAGTGAAAGTATGAAGGAACAGTTAGCAGTTGAAGTTGCATGAAGATTGTTCAAGTCTGAAGAGTTTCTCCATTGACTTCCATGTTAAAGACGTGATAAATTATGGGATGTATCTCTGGAATTATGAAGGTTATGAATGAGAAAAGTAATAGCCATTGATTCCCGACCGAGCTGAACGTTTTGATGTTTGAACGGAGTTTCTGCGATGCGGAATGTGGGAGCAGAAGAGGCGCAAAATAACCCGGCGGAATAATAAAGAATTTCGTGCGTCGAAGAACAGATAGTTCCCACTAAATGACCAATAACGGAGGAAGAAATAGAGGTGAGAAAAGGTCTATCTTTAAACTCTTATTTTGTAATTAACCACTTGTAAAAAACAAGGTTTATGGGAAAGAATGGCAGACCAAAAGGGAATATTTCGGTATTGACAATGCCAAAACCTGTTTTTCATCCACGCTTCTGACTTAAATTCCTATTCCTCAATATTACTCTGTATTTTATTTTGAGTTTTTTTTGGGGCGATAAAGTTGTCTTTGCAATTTATATTTTTAAACACTTTTAATGCTGATAACTCCTTGATTGACTTTTAAAAAGAAGTATTTTACCCAGAAGAATAATTGTTGTTATCATCTATTTTCATCCAAAAGCCCAACAAATAATTTTAAAGGTGTAAATGTAAAGTCAATATAGCGTGGCTTTAGCCAATTTTGAATCTTGGACTACAGACTTGCAACGTTTGGACAGAAGAAAAACAAATGCATCTGGTATTCCTCTCATCACATAATCTACATAATGGTGGCTGTTCAATGTTAAAGATGTTATTTTTCAGAAATGTTTTATTACAGCAGCTTCAGTCAAAACATCATTTGCGATTTGAGAAAGTGATTGCCACATTTCTTTTTCGATCTCCTTACCTTTTTGTGTGCTTTGGCCTGCTCCTCCACATACTTCTGGACCTCTTTTATAAGTTCCTGTAGTTTCCTCACCAGCTCCATGTGACAGCTGGCAAGCTTCTCTGTTGACGTCTTGACCACATCCCACACCGGAGCAAAAGTCCTGGGATTAAACAGAACATATCCCATCAGAGGATAGAAAAACTTCCAGAATCTCGTATATTAATGCAAACTAGTCTTCCCTTTGGAAAACTATAATGCTGTGCACACTCACCCGAGCTGAGAAAAGTTGCCTGCTGACTTGGCAAGTTTGGTCATAGACCTGGCATACGCCTCTTCAATAGTACTCCTAGAATAGAGCAAAAATACACACACATTTTTTAATAGTTATAAATGATCATACATAACCATTTAAATAACCACAAAGTTAACAACGCCATGTCACCAAAGTTAACATAACAATGCCCTTAAAATATGTAGTATCACAAAGTTTTTCAAAGTTTGTGCAACTAGGTTCAAATAGGGCATGTCCCCAGAGCCAGAGTAGATCCCAGTCAGAAACACCCACTAACAACTAGCAACATCAATGTTTGACTACATGCACAGTGTGAGGGAAATACGTGTGGTTCCTCTTGTGATGTGTTCATAAACATCATGTCGGAGCTGACAATAGTATGAAAGCTAGTGTTTGAATCCCCTGCTTCCCTCAATTTCCCTTTTTATTCTTTGATTCTGCGGCAAAGTGACAGGAGTTCAACGCACACACAAAAAAAAGAGCTGCAGCAGTGTTATAGTGAAACTCTGAATTATGCATGTCTCATTTAGCCTGCCTCTCTCTGCGAGTCACGTCACAGGAGGGAGGTGGGCCAGGGGGAAATGGGACAAACATGCACACAGACATCATAAACACACACGGGTACATGCCAGCAAACATCCAACATTGCACAACATAGATAGAAATGCATTATAGGAAACTTCCTCATCTCTCTGTGAGCCAAGAATGGAAGTTTATTCGTATACCTTTTGCATTTTTACTGACAAAGTGCCAGGAGAAACCTCTGCCTTTTAATAAAAACATTAAAAAAAACGTCTTAGTGTTTGTACAGAGCTTACCACAATGACATTTTGCGTGTTTTACTGAAAGATTATTTTTACACAGCTCTTCTTTTATATTAGTCACACTTGTTAAGCCAGACCACCTCTTAACATGACGTTTAGCTTTGTTCATGTTTCCTGTCTCATATGTTGGAGGTTGTATCGTATGTTAGTTGCCATGTACTATTCAAGAACCCTGCTACCCTAATGTGGCTTAAGGCGGCTAACTCAATTGTAATTCTTAGGGCTAAGATCTTCTTATTTCCATCTTTTTTTTTATATGGATATGATAAATGGTTTTGACCTGAAGCAGACTGTCTTTGGTGAAAACATTGTTTTTTTAAATGATGACCACATTTAAATCACAAATGGTGATTTTTGATTTGCGTCACACGTTGAAACTGCAGTGAGCTCACACAGTGACAAGATAAAGGATACTCAAAACAGCTAAACACTAAATAAATTCTACTACAGCTCAAAAGTTATATAGTGACTGGAGCTCACACACCTGTTTCTTTCAGGTCAGATAACTGCGATTAATCTCTTAAAATATGTTGTACGGCCCTGTGTGCACCTGTTGGAGATCGTTCATTTCTATTTAGCTCCTGTAAAAGAATGTTGTATTGAAAGAAATCTGAGGTATATTCAAACAGTGCATGTAGATTCTTTCTCCAGCAGAGGGAGCCATTGTGCAATATTCTAAAGTACAAAACATAAGCCTGGGAACTGAAACACCCAAGCCATCCTAGAAACTTGGACAGTGTTTATAAAACTAAGCAAAAATAAGCAATAATGTTACAATACAAATAATTAAATGAATCTCTTGTCTCTTTTACGGATTATGTATCGATTCATTTGTTTAGTATACACAGACATTATAGCTGACGGAATAAAGTGTTAATAATTAAGCACAGTTAAAAGCTTAAAGATGATTTATTAGAAATAATGAGTCTGAATGGTTTAAACAGTGACAGAGCTTTACCATTGGTGCATTTGCCATTTTACGCAGAAATTCTTCAAAAAGAGAATGGTTTTAATTTAGGGCCCCTCAGGAATAATGTGCTAAAAAGCTTATTTTCCCTGTGACCCAGCCATTAAGGTAATGTAACATAACCTTTGTTTATTATTAATAAGACTTTCAGTCTTCCAATAAATCCAGCAGATGGAGCCCATTAAAGCCTGCACCCAGTGTTATAATGAAGTGTCTGAGTGATGCAGTGAGAGAGGTGGAATCCACGGTTGAATTCCAGCGGTCGCCCATCCATCATGCGGCAGGTTATAAACACACACCTCTGACACAGGGAGGCTAATCTCTGTGGATGTGGAAAGAATTTTGTAAAGAAGGTATTATTATGGTATTATCCAGCTGCAGACACTGGGGGTGTGTAACATAATGTCAGGATAGAGATAGGCTAAGGCAGGGGTGTCAAACTCAAATACACAGTGGGCCACAATTAAAAAATCGGTACGAGTCGAGGGTTCAATGTGTATTGCAAAACTTATTGAAATGAATTTATTGCACATATTAAACCTGGAACTATCAAAGCTTAAATGATTGCCTGTAAAAACAACATTAAATAATCAGTTGCATTCATTTCTTATGGCTCTATCTGCAGAGCCATTTCTTATCAAAAAAACTATTCCCCTCAAAGAACAAACCAAACATGCCCTGTTGTCATGAGAGAAAAAGTGCAGAAGGAAACATCCATTAAACTCAGTACGCTGCTCTGTGATGCTAGTTCAGATACTTGGCATCTCATCTTGGGTGCAAGTTCATCAATGTTTGGGCTCAGGCTCTGAGCTGAGGAGACCCTCAGGATGGAGTGAAGGTGTGCGTGCAATATACCGGCGGGCCAGATCTAATAGTAATTAAAAATTATCCTGCGGGCCGAAATTAAATCCACCAAGGGCCTGATTTGGCCCACGGGCCTTGAGTTTGACACATGTGGGCAGGGCCACCTTAATGCACGGGCTGACCTGGGCTGAAGCCCAGGGGCCTACGGAGAACGGGGGCCTATCATGAGCCAATACAAAACAATTCAAAATACATTTTTTTTTATTTCGGATGTTTTTTAAAAATGTTAAATAAAAAAAGTCTTGGCTTTCAGAATATGAAACTTTTATTTCCAAAATCACACAATAAATACATTTTTTTGAAGCTTGTAAAGGGATGAGGACAGCTCTCCCTCGCCACTCTGCTGTTCCCCTCCCTCCGCTGAAATTATGAATGTAAGGCGTATAGTAATCATAGATAACACGGCAGGGTCCGTTACAGTTTGTTTTCATCTGGTTTCAAATAAACAAAGTCTTGGCTTTCAGAATATTAAACTTGTTTCGGCAAATTCAGATGATAAATACAACTTTGAAGCTTTTAACGGCATAATTACAAGCGGAGAACGGAGTAACTTGACGTCACAGCAGGCGTAACAACAGCCGGTGTTTCTCGTGAGTGTTTTCCCCGGGAAACAAACACAATACACACAAACGCAAAAATACACAAACACACACACAAACACGTATACACACACACACACACACACACTCGTGAGCTTTCCCCAGACCAGTAATCCAAACGAAAATATCATCCCTCTGTAGTATTTTGATCATTTGCTCCGCTAATCAATCAGATCGATGGATTCCAGAGATTTTTGTCAAAAATGATGTAACAGTCAGTGGGCACCACTTAACAGCCAATCAGAATGAGAATATGTTTCACATGTGACTTATTCAAATTGCGAGTAATTGAGTGACAGATGAAGGTTGTTTAGGAGAAAATGTCGGAGAAGAAAAAGTTTGAGAGTGGTGCTCGGAAAAGGAAATTGTTGAGGGAAAAGGAGTTTCAAGACAAGCAGCCATTACAAAAAATGCCGAAGCTTACAGGTTATTTTAAACCTGTAGGCCAGGATGAGGAGGAAGGACAGATGAGTTCTGTACCGAGTGGCAGCTGTGCCGGCCGCGGGGCCTCGGAGCCAAGTAGGCCGTCTGGTTCTGATAGCGATGGAGTAGCGGGAGAGGAAAAACAGACAGGAGGAACATTATCTGTTGGAGGAGATGGGAGGACGACGAGGACTTGCTACGTGGAGGGGAGCCAACGGCAACCGGACAAATACATGAGGGAGGCCCGATACGTCACTCATCTGGAGGAGAGGACCAGGCGCGCGTAGAGCAGAGTGGAGAAGTGCGATCACAGAGCCTACAAAAAAAAACCTGGCAGGTTAAGGCGGGCTTGCATGTGGGCTAAGGTTTATGCTTCTTTCACAAAGAGGTTAAGCTTGCATAACATTACCACAATAATCTACATCCACCTTCAGCTGTTACATGTATTTGTCTTTCAATGCTTGACTTGTATGTGGATATATTTATTTATTTTGAACACATGTCTCTTTACAACGAGCAACTGATCTTAACAACACCAGTGTTTTCCCCTATATACAAATAATATGTTTGATTGTTTGTTATGTGGATTTGTAGTATTTGTGTTACTGTATGTTCAATAAAGGTGTATTTTTGCTAAATCTTGAGACATTGCCACTGTATGTATAGGCAAGGCCAATTGTTGGCATAGATCTGGGCGGCGCTGCGCTGATAGCTCTGGGAGGGGAAAAAACATTTTTGATCGTTGGCGCTCATCCTAATTTTCGGCCTTGATGTAACAACATTCATAATTAAGTAAATGTAACACCCTTTTCACCCCGGTTACACTTTTCATTTGCCCTGTACGATGGGCGCTGTAAGTGGGGGATGTTGGCTTATCAGGCGCCCGCAGCTCACAGCCAAAGTGCGAGGGAGCGAGAGAGAGAGCGAGCGAAGGAGAGAGAGAGGGTGCACTGGTACCGGCGCTGTTGTTATTAGAATCTGGTGCTAGCTGCGCTAATGGATATAAGAAGTAGATGTTTCTAGAACCAGGGTGGAGGAGAGCTCTCTTGTCAGACTGAGAGGCTCAGTGAGGTAAAGGACTCTGAGTGTTTAGATAGTTAATTTTAGTTTTAAAAGTTATCTCAGTGGGTCTCAAACGTTTTGACCACAAATTATGTAAACACATATTTCCAAGGCACTCC